TTTTTTTGTAGAGACAGGATTTCACCATGTTGCCCAGGATGGTCTCCAATTCCTGGGCTCAAGCAATTCTCCCCACCTTGGTCTCTCAAATTTCTGGGATTACCAGCATGAGCCATTGCACCTGGCTGTAGCCATTTTCTATTGTAACTATTTCTTACTGTACATCTCCACTCTACTCTGCTCTTACTATACATCACCACTCTACTCCACTCCACTCTACTCTGAACCTCTTATAAACATAGAGTTTCTTTTTTTTTTTTCCATTCTTTGTCCCTCTAGAGAACATAAACTGTTTCTTACTCATCTTCATATCTCCCTGCCACCTAGCACGTAGTAGATACTCAATAAATGTTTGATTAATTTGAATTTACATGATGAAGTTTAATAGATTTTACACATCAAATAAATAACATAAAGGAATAAAACATCAGCTACTTTTAATGCTCAGCTTTATTGGCTGTGTATTTTGTAATTACTAATGGAGCACCAACTACCATCTGAATAGAAGAAACAGTTAAATACCAGAAAACATAAAACGGTTATAATGATATTACTATCTAATATGTGAGAGTGTACTGTATGCCAGTATGTATACTGATACTTACTATATACCACGTATAGGCTTTTATATATATTTTCATTTAATCTTCATAACAACCATGTGAAGTAAGTGGTGGTATCTGTATTTCACAAATAAGCAAACCAAATCACATAGAAGTTAAGTTTCTTACCCATTGTCAGCGTGACTAAATGAAGGCACCTAAATACAAATAGCAAAGCCTGGACTTTTAGACAATATGCTATACTGCTATTTGACTATGCTAATTAAAGGGAGGGGAAAATCACTAGTGTTATAAGAAACCATCTTAGGGCGTGACTATTTCTGTGTAGGAGGTATCATGTCATTGCTTTGGAAAAGGCGTAATTAATACTTTGTGATAATGTGGAGTGTTTTAAGAGTGTATACAGAGAATATACCGAATTTAAAGCACCGCTTGAGTATCAGCATTTTAGTAACAATATAGTGATGGCCTTTTTTTTTTTTTTTTTTTTTAAAGAGAAGTTCTCCAGGCCGGGTGCGGTGGCTCACGCCTGTAATCCCAACACTTTGTTAGGCCCAGGTGGGCGGATCAACTGAGGTCAGGGGTTCAAGACCAGCCTGACCAAAAAGTAGAAACCCCTTCTCTACTAAAAATGCAGAAAATTAGCTGGGCATGGTGGTGCATGCCTGTAATCCCAGCTACTCGGGAGGCTGAAGCAGGGGAATCACTTGAACCCAGGAGGCGGAGGTTGCAGTGAGCTGAGATCATGCCATTGTACTCCAGCCAGGCAACAAGAGTGAAACTGTCTTAAAAAAAACAGAGACAAGATCTCATTATATTTCCCAGGCAAGAATGCAGTGGTTAGTCACAGGCTCAGTCAGAGCGCACTACAGCCTCAAAGTCCTGGCCTCAAGTGATCCTCCTCAAGTGACTACAGACATGTACCACCATACCAAGGCTCAGTGATAGCTATTTTCTATGACAGTCTAGCATAGTGATTAAGAGCAGAGGCATTGGTAGCTTGAGTTTAGTTCCTAGCAGTGCCTCCTAATAGCTTTGTGATCTCTGGCAAATTAAGCTTTTTAGGGTCATTGTGGGGACTGAATGAGTTGGCACATGTAAGGTACTTCGTTCTTTATAAGATGTCATGGTTAGGATCACAGACTTGGGAGACAGATTAGCAGCATAGTTTAACAGTCTCTAGCTTATATTTCCTGGCACAGTATAAGAGGTATAAAAATATGATATTATTTATAGAATTTGAGAAATCCTAGGCTGGACACTGTGGCTCTTGCCTGTAATCCCAGCACTTTGGGAGGCTGAGGCGGGTGGATCACTTGAGGTCAGGAGTTCAAGACCAGCCTGGCCAATATGGTGAAACCCTACCTCTAAAAAAATTAGCCAGGCATGGTGGCCTGTGCCTGTAATCTCAGCTACTTGGGTGGCTGAGGCAGGAGAATTGCTTGAACCCAAGAGGTGGAGGTTGCAGTGAGCCAAGATTGCGCCATTTCACTCCAGCCTGGGCGACAAAAATGAAACTCTGTCTCAAAAAAAAAAGAGGTTGGGCGCCGTGGCTCACCCTTGTAATCCCAGCACTTTGGGAGGCCATGGCAGGCGGATCGCAAGGTCAAGAGATCGAGGCCATCCTGGCCAACATGGTAAAACCCCATCTCTACTAAAAATATAAAAATTAGCTGGGCGTTGTGGCATGTGCCAGTAGTCCCAGCTACTCCGGAGGCTGAGGCAGGAGAATTGCTTGAACTCAAGAGGCAGAGGTTGCAGTCAGCTGAGATCATGCCACAGCACTCTAGCCTAGACAACAGAGTGAAACTCCATCTCAAAAAAAAATGAAAAAAAGAATTTGAAAAATCTTATTTCTGTACTTTTATAAATTTTTCTGCATGACTTCAAAAGAGATCAGTCAGAAACCATCTTTTCTAACAAACAGAATCTTAGATAATATTTCTTATACAAAAAAATAAAAATACAAAATTAAAACCAGTGAAGTATTAAACTACTATAGGCTGGATGCAGTGGCTCACACCTGTAATCCCAGCATTTTGGGAAACAGACACAGGAGGATTGTTTGAACCCAGGAGTTTGAGATAAGCCTGGACAGCATAGTGAGACCCTCTTTCTCCAAAACATTTTTAAAAATAAGCCAGCTATGGCAATGTGCACCTGTAGAACCAGCTACTTTGGGGAGAACCACTTGAACCAGGAGGTTGAGGCTGCAGTGAGCTGTGATCATGCCACTGCACTCTAGCCTGGGTGACAGAATGAGACTCTGTCTCAAAAATAAATAAATAAATAAATAAACCACTATAAATGAAGTCTTCAGTGGGAAATATTCTGAAGTGTGCAAAGGAGCAAAAATGCAATTGTTCCTGGTACATTATCCCCTTTAGTTTTAAGAGTGTTTTCTGTTACCAAAAAATGCATAGTAGCCTCTTTTAAAGCCATTTTGAGGCCTTTAAAAATAACACATTTTTGGCCAGGAGCAATGGCTCACACCTGTCATCCCAGCACTTTGGGAGGCCAGGACAGGCAGATCACTGGAGCCCAGGAGCTTGAGACCAGCCTGAGCAACATGGTTAAAGTCCATCTCTACAAAAAATTAGCTGGGCATGGTGGTACAAGCCTGCAGTCCCAGCTACTTGGGGGACTGAAGTGAGAAGATTGCTTGAGTACTGGAGGTTGAGACTGCAATGAGCTGAAATTGAGCCACTGCACTCCAGCCTGGGCGACAAAGACTTTGTTTCTAAAAAAATAAAACAAAGCCACAACACATTTTTTAATCCAGACCAGTGGTTTTTAACCTGGAGAGATGTTTCCCCTACCACATTTGGCAATGTGTAGAGATGTTTTTGGTTGTTATAACAACTGGGGGTTAGGGATGGGGCAGAGATGTGCATCCTACTTGTTGTATCTCATGGTTAGAGACCAGGATACTGTTAAACATTCTGCAGCAGTGTTCCCTAACTTTTTTGGCACCAGGGACTGGTTTTGTGGAAAACAGTTTTTCCATGGACCTGTGCGGGGAGAAAGGGAGATGGTTTCGGGATGATTCAAGCACATTACATTTATTTGAACTTTATTTCTATTATTATTACATTATAATGTATAATGAACTAATTATACAACTCACTATAATGTAGAATTAGTGGGAGTCCTGAGCTTGTTTTCCTGCAACTAGATGGTCTCATCTGGGGGTGATGGTAGACAGTGACAGATCATGAAGCATTAGAGTTTCATAAGGAGCATGCAACCTAGATCCTTTGCATGCTCAGTTCACAGGTTAATGCTCCTTGAGAATCTAATGCCACCACTGATCTGACAATAGGCAGAGCTCAGGTGGTAATTCAAGCAATGGGGAGCGACAGTAAATACAGATGAAGCTTTGCTTGCTTGCCCATCACTCATCTCCTGCTGTGCGACCCGTTCCTAACAGGCCATGGGCCTATGGGTTAGGAATCCCAATCTCCAATGCACAGGATACCTCATTCAGCAAAGCATTATTTATTTCTAAATGTTAATAGAGCTGAGGTTGAGAAAACCCTGCTCTGGACTAAAAAGGGGCTAATGACTTCCCCAAGATTATATTAACTTAGAAAAGGGCCTGAACTACAGACATGCAGGTAACATCTAAGTTCAATGTCCCCTAACTAGAACAAAATAAGTAAATTTTTAGAGACCTAATAGTTAATAGTGCCTATTTTTCTTTATCTTGTTTAGGGTTTGTGAAGCAGGATCTGATAATCAACCTCTTGGTAATAATCAACAATCAAATTGTGAATATTTTGTTGATAGCCTTTTTGAGGAAGCTCAGAAGGTTGGTTCCAAACGCTTGTCTTCCACTGAACAGAAGAAACAGGTAAATAAATGTCCATTACTTTTTTTTTCCTTCCAGTGTTTCTCAATATATGGAACTTTTAGAGAGTCCCTAAGGTCAAATTGTTTTGTTTGTTTGAGATGAGGTCTTGCTCTGTCACCCCAACTGAAGTGCAGTGGCTTAGTCTTGGCCCACTGCAACCTCAACCTCCTGGGTTCAAGTAGTCCTCCTGCTTCAGCCTTCCTGGGTAGCTTGGACCTCAGGCATATATCACCATGCCCAGCTAATTTTTTTTATTCTTTTGTAGAGATGGGGTCCTGCTTTGTTGCCCAGGCTGCTCTTGAACTTCTGGGCTCAAATAGTTCTCCTGCCTTGGTCTCCCAAAGTGCTGGGATTATAGGTGTAAAGCCAAAACTGTTTTCATGATATATATTATTTCCCTTTTTTACTATGTTCACAAGATAGGCACACCTATAATCCCAGCACTTGAGGAGGCTGAGGCAGGAGGATCACTTGAGCCCAGGAGTTGAAAACCAGCCTGGGCAACAAAGCAAGACTCCATCTCTACAAACAAATAAAAAAATTAACTGGGTGTGATGGCATGTACCTGTTTCCCAGCTTCTTGGGAGGTTGAGGCAGGAGGACTTCCTGAGCTCAGGAGGTTGAGGCTACATTGAGCCATGACCACATCACTGCACTTCAGCCTGGGTGACAGAGTAAAACCCTGACTCAAAAAATAAGATAAGATAAAATAATATAAAAAAATAAAACAGCTGGGCACAGTAGCTATAATCCCAGCACTTTGGGAGGCCGAGGCAGGCAGATCACGAGGTCAAGAAATCGAGACCATCCTGGCCAAATGGTGAAACCCCGTCTCTACTAAAAATACAAAAATTAGTCTGGTATGGTGGCACGTGCCTGTAGTCCTCGCTACCTACTTGGGAAGCTGAGGCAGGAGAACCTATTGAACCCAGAAGGTGGAGGTTGCAGTAAACCAAGATCATGCCATTGCACTCCAGCCTGGTGGGAGAGCAAGACTCTGTCTCAAAAAACTAAAAATAAAACAAAAAATTGTATTTAGTTTGCACTGATATTGCAAAAGCAGTTGTGGGTAAAACTACAACACCTTAGCAAGAATCAAGGCAGTGGCAACAAACTGCTAGCAGTTACACATTGAGCATCCTAAATCCACCAAATCCAAAAATCCAGAATGCTTCAAAATCCAGAATTTTTTGAGAACTGACACGATGCTCAAAGGAGATGCTCATTGGGGCATTTCAGATTTCGAATTTTTTAATTTGGAAAGCTCAACCAGCAAATATTTCAGAATCTGAAACTTCTGGTCCCAGGCATTTCATATAAGGAATATTCAACATGTACTTTATTCTTTGCTTATACTTACAAGGGGAAAGAAAACTAATTTTAATTAAGAATGTCATTAATGAAGCAGTAGAATTTGTAAATTTTATATCTCAAACCTTGAATACATATCTTAATATTCTGTGTGACAAAATGTGAAGTATGCATAAAGTATTTCTACAATATACAGAAATGTCTCAAGGAAAAGTGCAGTTATTTGAGATCAACAAACTATATATATTTTTTTGAGACAGAGTCTTGCTGTGTCACCAGTCTGGAGTGCAATGGGGTGATCTCAACTCACTGCAGGCTCCACCTCCCGGGTTCAAGCGATTCTCCTGCCTCAGCCTCCTGAGTAGTTGGGACTCAGGCACACACCACCATGCCCAGCTAATTTTTGTATTTTTAGTAGAGACAGGGTTTCACCATGTTGCTCAGGTTGGTCTCTATCTCCTGACCTTGTGATCCGCCTGCCTCGGCCTCCCAAAGTGCTGGGATTACAGGTGTGAGCCACCACCCAGCCAACTGTCTACTTTTTCATGGCATATTGCTTCTGCAAGAAAGAATGGTTTACATACGGACTATGGTTATTCCAACTTCCATATTTGGTAGATATTTTCTAATAATGAATGAAGTGAGCCTGGCACTTCAAGGAAAACAACTTATAGTAACTGTTGAAAATGATAAAATTTTATTTAACAACTTTTTAAGTGAAAATAAGACTTAGAAAATTGCCACCATAGGCCAGGCTTGGTGTTTCACACCTATAATCCTACCACTTTGGGAGGTCAAAGTGAGTGGATCACTTGAAGCCAGGAGTTCAAGGCCAGCCTGGCCAACGTGGCAAAATCCTTTCTCTACTGAAAAATACAAAAATTAGTTGGGCTTGGTGGTGTACATGTGTGATCTCAGTTACTCAGGAGGCTAAGGTATGAGAATCGCTTGACCCTGGTGGCTGGAGGTTGCAGTGAGCCAAGATCGTGCCATTGCATGCTAGCCTGGGCAACAGAGTAAGACTGTCTTAAAAAAAGAAAAGAAAAAGAAAGCCACCGTACCTGACAACTTCTCAAAACGTAAGGAATTTCCTAGTGAGATTAGTATCATTTTAATAAATATAAATTTTGTTACATAATGAAATAAATGTGTCAGCCGTTGGAAGATCTGCATAATTAAGAAAATCAGTATTTTCCAAATGACCAATATATGATGTAATAAAGTGATGCATGAGTAAAAGAGCCAAAGTATCACATATTTAATGTAACAAGTATATGAAAAGATGATTGGTAAGTTTTAGATTCCACATTCAGATACTCAACTAACTTTTGAGATACTATTACTACTTAATAAATTTTGATTAAGTATCAAAGAAGAATATCCTGGGAAGGCTATTAAAATACTTCTTTTTCTAACTACATGTGTGTATGACGTTTGGTTTTTTTAAAAAAACATTTCAATCAAAATAACATGTCACAGCAGGCTGAGAGCAGTACCAATTATGAGACCCCAGCTGATTTTTTGACATGAGACATTAAAAGTATTTGTGAAAAATCCCTTCACTCTAATTTGCTTTTTAAGTTAATTTAAAATTTTATCAAAGTTTAAGTCATAAAAACTTAAAGTCTATTTGTTGTGAAAGGCTTATGTTGAAAAATGACTACTTGGCCCTAGCATCTACTTTTTTTTTAGTGGGGAGGAGTTGGAGTCTCACTCTGTCACTAGGCTGGAGTGCAGTGACGTGATCTCAGCTCGCTGCAACCTCTGCCTCCCGGGTTCAAGCGATTCTCCTGCCTCAGTCTCCCCAGTAGCTGAGACTACAGGCGCGTGCCACCATGTCCAGCTAATTTTTTGTATTTTTAGTAGAGACAGGGTTTTACTGTGTTAGCCAGGATGGTCTTGATCTCCTGACCTTGTGATCTGCCCACCTCGACCTCCCAAAGTGCTGGGATTACAGGCGTAAGCCACTGCATTCAGCCCACCAGTTAAATTTTTTCTAAGGCATGACTGTGGTGAAACCCTTCTTCCTTCTTCAGTGGACTGGTTGTCTGGTAGGGGAGCTCTACTGCTGTTGCTCTGGAGTCTGTGATCCTGAGTATTCTCCTCTGTCCTGGTTACTCAATTCTCTGCCTCTCCTAACATCCCTCCCCTCTTACATTTTGATTTTTATGAAGCTAGTTATATTAGTCCATTTATACACTGCTGATAAAGACCATACCTGAGACTGGGAAGAAAAGGAGGTTTAATTTGACTTATAGTTCCACATGGCTGGGGAGGTCTCATAATCATGGCACCAGCAAGAGAAAATGAGCAAGAAGCAAAAGTGGAAACTCCTGACAAACCCATCATGAGATTTATTCACTATCAACAGAATAGCATGGGAAAGACCAGCCCCCATGATTCAAGAACCTCCCCCTGGGTCCTTCCCACAACAGGTCGGAATTTTGGGAGATACAATTCAGCTTGAGATTTTGGTGGGGACACCACCAAACCATATCAATAATTTTAATTTTTGGTAGAAACTGGGTCTAACTATGTTGCCAGGGCTGGTCTCAAACTCCTATGCTCAAGCAATCCTCTTGCCTTGGCCTCCTGAAATGCTGGGATTGCGGGAGTGAACCACTCCACCCGGCCTGAATAGTGATAGAAGAAATTTTCAAAGGACTTTCAATCCTACTACATTTTATTAACATGATGCATTTTGTTTCCTACTGTTTTGCAGGTAGATGTAAATATAAAATTATGGAAAAACGGATTCACCGTCAATGATGATTTCAGAAGTTACTCCGATGGTGCAAGTCAACAGTTTTTAAATTCCATCAAAAAGGGGTGAGTAGCTAGGTGTGGTAGCTCAAGCCTGTAATCCCAAAACTTTGGCAGGCTGTGGCAAGAGGATTGCTTGAGCTCAGGAGTTCAACACCAGCATGGGTAACATAGTAAGACCTTATATCTACTTAAAAAAAAAAAAATTACCCAGGCAGCCCAGCTACTCAAGATTGCTTACACCTGGGAGATCAAGGCTACAGTGAGCCATGATTGCACCACTCCAGCCTGGGCAACAGCACGAGGCCCTGTCTCCATCAATAAATAAGGAGATGGGGTGAATAATCTTTGTAATAGGAAGATATTTTAGGCATGTTTTTTGTCAAAGAATTCATTTTAATGTTCACACACCCCTACACATTCACAGATAATACTTTTTCTTTTGTAAGTTCACATTTTTATAAGATTAATTTTCTTAAGAGAACCAGAACTACAGTGTTTTTCCTTTTTGAGATAGTCTCTCTCTGTCGCCCAGTCTGGAATACAATGGCATGATCTCGGCTCACTGCAACCTCCACCTTCTGCAGTCAAATGATTCTCATGCCTCAGCCTCTCGAGTAGCTGAGATGATGGGTGTGCGCCACCATGCCCATCTAATTTTTGTATTTTTATTAAAGAACAGGGTTTCACTATGTTGGCCTGGCTGGTCTTGAACTCCTAACCTCAAGTGATCTGCCCACCTCAGCCTTCCAAAGTGCTGGGATTATAAGCATGAGCCACCGCGCCCCGCCAACAACTATAATTTTGAAGAAAGTTTAGGAACTTGAATTCTTATCAACCCACATCTTACTTAAACTAATTTACTTTACTAAGTATTTTTTAATGCCACTTCTTCTTTATTATTTAATATTTATGTTTAAATATCTGTAGAGTCTTTTAAATGGTCACGTTAAAAGCCTCTCTTACCCTACTTCAGCTTGGGAGGCTGTGTGATTCATGAATTAAAATTTTAAAGGAAAAAAACTGTAATGTTTACTGTATATTTATGAATTTAAGTATTATACATGCTTGATCTAGAAATTGTTTTTAAGTATTAAGAATTTGAAAATCACCTAGGCGCAGTGGCTCATGCCTGTATTCCCAGCACTTTGGGAGGCCGAAGTTGGTAGGATCACCTGAGGTTAGGAGTTTAAGACCAGCCTGGCCAACATAGTGAAACGCTGTGTCTGTTAAAACATACAAAAATTAGGTGGGTGTGGTAGCAGGTGCCTGTAATTCCAGCTACTTGGGAGGCTGAGGAAGGGAGAATTGCTTGAACCCAGGAGGTAGAGGTTGCAGTGAGTCAAGATGGTGCCACTGTACTCCAGCCTGGGCGACAGAGAGAGAGTCCATCTAAAAAAAAAAAAAGAACTGGAAAATCACTTATAATGTAACCACTCAGAAGTAACTACTATTAACATTTTTGATGAATTTCATTCTATCATTTTCTGTCCATAGATTCATATATATGATGTATACAGTTATTTTTTAAACAATTTTAAATTCATCATACAAAATATTTGAATATATCTGAGTGATATTTTATCACAACCGTGCTCCATAATTTTTATATATACTTAATTGTTCTTGGCAACATAGTGTTTTTTGTTTTTATGTATTTTTAATTCTGGATGTTGCTCTGTCACCCAGGCTGGAGTGCAGCGGCACAGTCATAGCTCACTGCAACTCCAAACTCCCCATCTCAAGTGGTCCTCTCACCTTGGCCTCCCAAAAAGCTGGAACTATGGGAGTGCACCATCATGCCCAGCTATTTTTTAAAAATGTTTAGTAGCAATGAGGTCTTGCTGTGTTACCCAGGTTGGTCTCAAAACTCCTGAGCTCAAGCAGTCCTTCTGCCTTGGCCTGCCAAAGTGCTGGGATTACCAGCATGAGCCACCATGCCCAGCTAAGTATTTAAAATTCTACCACTATGAAAAATATTTTGACTATTTTTTATATTTATGTAAAAAAAAGCTTTGTTTATATATAATTAACCTTTGTTTATATATAATTATATATAAAAACCAAAGAGATGAATAATAAAATGCATCCCTTCGAAGTATACAGTTAAGTATTTTTTAATGTTTACAGAGTTTTACAATCATCAGCACAATCTAATTTCAGAATATCATTATCACCCCCAAAAACCAAGTATATTGCTGAAAGAAAAAAAAAATCAGATACTAGAAATCACTCTTCATTTTCCTCTTCACTACAGCCCTGATATAACCATGAATCCACTTTCTGTCTATCTCTATGGATTTCTGTATCTATGTATTTGCCTGTTCTACACATTGCATATAAATGGAATCCTACAATATGTGTCCTATTATATCTGATTTCTTTCCTTTAGCATAAAGTTTTCAAGGTTTATTTATGTTGTAGCTTGTATCTGTTCTTCTTCTTTTTTTTTTTTTTTTTTTTCCCGGAGACAGAGTGTTAAGCTCTGTCACCCAGGCTGGAGTGCAGCGGTGCAATCTTGGCTCACTGCAACCTCCACCTCCCAGGTTCAAGCGATTCTCCTGCCTTAGCCTCCTGAGTAGCTGGGATTACAGGCGTGCACCATTATGCCCAACTAATTTTTGTATTTTTAGTAGAGACGGGGTTTCACCATGTTGGTCAGGTTGGTCTCAAACTCCTGACCTCGTGATCTGCCCACCTTGGCCTCCCAAAGTGCTGGAATTACAGGCATGAACCACTACACCCAGCCCTTGTTCTTCATTCTTATTTCCATTGTATGGATATAGCACATTTTGTTTATTCATTTATCAGTGATTAGTCATTTGGATCATTTCCACATTTTGGGCTATTATGAATAAGCTACTGTGAACATTTATCTACAAGTTTTTGTGTGGTCATATGTTTTCATTTCTCTCAGGTATAAATCTAGAAGTGGAATTGTTAACTCTTATGTTAACTTTATGAAGAACTGCCCAAATGTATTCCAAAGTGGCTATACCATTTAACATTCCTACTAGCTCTGTATGAGGGTTCCAGTTTTTCCACATCCTAACGCATGTTGGTTTCTTTTTTAAAATTATAGCCATTTTAGTTGTTGTGAAGGGGTATGTCATTCTGGTTTTGACTTATATTTCTCGAATGACCAGTGATGTTGAGTGTCTTTTCATGTACTTATTGGCCATTTGTGCATCCTCTTTAAAGAAATGTCTGTTCAAATCCTCTGTCCAGTATTTTCTTTGCCTTTTTTTTTTTTTTTTTTTTTTTTTTTTTTTTTT